TCCGCCAACCTCCATTTGATATGATCGTGAATGCGCAATTCCATCCATCCTCCAACACGTTGTTTGCCTAGAATAAATACGAAAACACAAACACTAGACAAACAACATTAGAAGTAAATTATTTGTTAAACATCATCAAAACAAGAAGGCCAACAGTCGTTTGACCGAGGATCGTCGTATCTCCAAGATCCATTGCCACATAGCTCTGTACGAAAGGGGGCAATTAGATTCTTAGGACAATGCTTTGTGCACGCTTCGGTCATCAGTTCGTATTTCTAACCTTTACTTATTTTCGTTTAAATTATTTCTTATATTTGCGTTATAATATTGACCCACCATTATCTGATAATTATTAACTGTTCAAACTAATTTTTGTTTTTGTCTAAACAGCCAATATTTCCAACAGTTTGGGCTACACCCAAATCCAACACACATGAACCATAACTTTCCTCAAACTTTGAATGTATCTGAACAGCAAATATCATTTTAATTTAGGCCCACCAGGCAAAAAGTAGACAATAATAAAACAAAATATCACTCCTGTTCTTCTCCTTTTTGTATACTAGTTCAAAAGGCAGTAAACGCGGACCAAGGATGCTTTGAAAGCATGGCAGCTCCGCTTACCAAGAATAAAACATATTCATATGGTTAGTCAAAGGAGAGGATTACCAGTATATATGATGATGATCATATTTGATGGCCCATTAAAGTTGATCACGTGGTCATCATATAAAAACTAAGACATTTGAGGTACCATTTTCTTCTAGATATGACAACATTTCCATTAGTTGGTGGGTCACCCTCCTCACCTAATTTTTCTCAGCCCAAAATGCGTAAGATTTCATACTCAAGAGGATAGGGCTACTTGTTTACGGAGGTGTATTTATAATTCCAAGATGATGCTATATGTGGGTAAGTTTGTCACCAATAATTAAATTATTAAGCAGATTAGATATGCATCCAACTTGTCGATACGAAAAACATAAGAACTCAAGAGGGTATAACCAAGTTAGCAAGCTGCTATGAGCAGAACTCCAAGGTCTTAAGTTCGACTCTCCTGAGAAGTACATACAGAAATTTAATTTCCTAGTATACTCGATGTGTGCGCTGGGGAGTGCCCCTTAGCCTTGCATAGGGGTTTGATACCCATAGTCCGAATGATCATGGCCGGGGAAGTTCTCTTGTCAAACCTAAAAAAACTAAAAAAAAGTATTAGAGTGTGCATATAATAAGATCCAGTCAACAAAACTTAGATCAACTTGTGAGGATTATGATGTTGGTGTTTTGTCGTTGACATAGAGAAGGAGAGTTTTCCATTAAATGTAGGTTTGACCACTTCAAGCACTCCAAGCTACATTCATGGGCAAACACGTCATGTACATGTAGCGAGGCCTTGATCTGGGCCAAAACTCCTTTGATGCTCAAGTCAATGATTTATATAGTAGTGCAAAATGAAGAACATCACACATAACATGTAAGCCGAATTTTTATAACTCTCTAGATCGTGGATAGAATTTGCTTGTTTGAGACTCGTAAGTGAGTATATTTTGCATCTTGGTGGAAAATGAGTATGTCCATTGAGCACGATGTGATAGAACCTGTTGAGATAGAACGTTGGAGTATCTGTAGAAATAAACACGTTGTTCGTCGCATTTTGGTAGAGAAGCGAAGATGTCTGATGGTAATTGTGTGAGCGTTAACTATGTTGTATTTAGAATTAAATCACATTATCCAGACGAAGAAAAATAATTTAGAAATTTAAAAGGCTAATGTTTTGGTAGATTGAATCTTTCACAAATCAGCAATTTATTCTTGTGATGTTGTCAAACCTCTCTACTGGTGTATAATTTGTCCATCGTGGTAATTAAAGTCCCAAGTAAAAATCAAACAAAATGCTTGAAGCATGTTCCTCATTGCATCTATAACTGATAGCTCGCGTGCACAATCATATTACAGATTTGAAACCCGAGATAAATAGACAACTAAAGCGTCGTTATTACTTAATTAATCTTTTCAAAGGAGAACGAATCCTCTATCAAAGTCAGCTAATTAAGCTTTATTCAACACATGATTGTAGTCTAAAACTTGTATCCTATTTATTGAATCACGAAGATAGCCGCAAGGTACCTACCTTCTTCTAAAGGATCCAATGCACGTAACGTATATTAATCTAACAATTTCACATTAAAATAAGCTTAGCCCTTTGTTCTGCTCTTTCTTGAAGGAATGTGTATACGCACATACATACATACAACTCACGGAGCAGTCATATATACGCAGCACATGCTTAAGCAAACAAAGGGAAAGAAGTACCCTAAACTACAAAGGACTGTCCTTTAGTTTGGAATTCAGTTGAAAGTGGGTCATGCTAAAAATGGCGCACGTCTTTCTGTTTTCTTTTTTTCTTTTTTTTTTAATTCTTTTTTTAAAAGTATATAACAATCACAAATACAAATCCCCTCGGAATATTCCGCACGCGAGCATGGTTTTCTCAATCATTAAGCAGGCGCTTGACACGTCTGAAGTGCCCATTACCCTGCTCTTATATGGTTGAGGACACTCCGCTGGTACGTGAATTCTGATGGGTCACTGTAGGAATACTTTATTTATAGGATGCAAAAGACGATGATAGAAATGAACAGAAGTAGGTTATAAGATTTGATATAGATATTGTTTATAGGATGCAGAAGAAGATGATAAAAACGGACACAACCGAGTTATAAGATTTGATACAGATATGAAAAAGAAAATTTCTGAAGGAAAGTTACTTAGATCTAAGAACCATCGTCATAATTTCCTCTTTATTTTAACACGAAGGAGTACAGTTTATGTCATTTTTTAAGTGCTTATACCCTCGTAATAAACTACTACTAGTATAATACCATATCGCGATCTAAAATGAAGAATTAAAAATAATAATAAAAGATACAAATTAGGGGGTTAAAAAGCTGTCGGTGATGGAGATTAGAGAATTAGAGATGCCCCTAATAAACAAATGATTAGAGAAGTCACCGGATATAATTGAAAGCTTATGAGATCTGTGACTTCATAAGGGCATATATGGCCTTATTTTTTTCTGAATGAGTTTTAGAATGGATATATGAGTCAGCTGAGAGACTCATTACAGCAAACACCTATGCGGGCTTTAGATAACGCGTGGCAGTTTTTTCGAACAAACGATTCGGAGAAATTAGATGGGTTGTACGAAGAGATGAGACACAAGAGAGACAGCGGATGAGATGGGCCCCCGGGTTCCGTTTATCGCGCCGTTTGAAATCTCAAGTGACTCGCTTTCAATCATTTTTATTTCACCATTTTATATTTCCACGGTAAATAGCATGATGTAATTATAAATGCCACAAACTAAACGTTGCAAATAATAAATCAGTCGTTTGGATATCCATCTTTTCATCGTAATAAATGTGTTTTAATTACAAAGTGGTTGAATTTCAATAGCCAATGCTTGATTAATTACAAAATGGTTGAATTTCAATATTTTGTTGAGAAAAAAAAATATTTCCATTGCAAATCAAGCTTTTTTTCGAATTTGCAAAATAATCTATGTTTTTTCTTATTTTTTTTCAGTGATGGTGTGATGATCTTTATAAATTTTTATTAATATAAAAGCACTCGAGCCAAACTGACTTTAAGAATTGTTGCATTTTTTCCCTCCAAAATGAAAATCCAATTATTATTGTCGACTTCATTATTACTTATCAAACACTAAAAGGTAGAAATTTGCTAGCAAAATTTCCTAGTGGGTCAGCTGAGAGCTCTACCTTGTTTGTGTGAATCAAACAACCTCTAGAATTATTGTGTCTAAAACAATTTCTTGCAGTAGTAAATATTTCACTATGAGTAATTTAGCTAGGATAAGCTCCAATTTAACCAGAATATAATATTTGTGATATATTCATTAAGGGGGTGTTTGGTTGCACAATTTTATAGAAAAGTTTTCTCAAAATGTCTGACAATGGAAATTCAGTAATTAAAAATTTAATGTAGATTTCTGTAAATTGTGTTTGGTTCAAAAAATTTTACAGAGATATTTTCTGTAAAGTACAAAAAGTACCAAAATTTACAGAAATCAATTTCCTCTCAAAATGGACGGAAATACACAGAAATCTAACACCACATTGATATTTTTCTATAAAATTGATACTTTTCTATAAATTTAGGGGGTGTTTAGTTTAATTTCTACAAATTATAGGAAATCTTGCTATTTTCTATAAAGTTATGGGTCATTTTCTTATTTTGAACCAAACAAGCAAAGTAAAAAAACAAGAAAAATTAATACTTTTTGACTTCTCAAAACTTTTCCTATAATTTTTTTAAGAAATACAAGGAAATCATATTTTGGGTGGAAAATATTTCTTATAATTTGTAGAAATTGAACCAAACACCCCCTAAACATCTACCGGTTGACTTATTTAGAAAAGTATCTATGTACCAAATTGTACGTATACAAATATATTTACTAAATTCAGTAATTACTAATCCAAAGTCACTGTAATCCTTCTGAATATGCTCCATGCATTAAAGTAGATCTACTTCATTAATTATTTTTCTAAAAACCTTTATCCCGTTATTTATTTATTTATTTTGATAACAACTTTTATACCTTTTATTGAGAAGTGTCTTTTCAATATTAACATTTAAATCTTTAATATTTTAAAATTGCTATTAGAAGCTCCCTTTCTCATAAGCCGTTTCAAATTATTAAAGTTTTGATTAGGTCCCTCAATTTTTACAACCAGGTAATCTCTCCAGTCAAAAGTTGCACTAGTAAGATACAAACATGGAACTTTGAGGGACCTAATAGCAACTTCAAAGTTAAAGACTCAGTAGGAACTGATACCCAAAAAAAAACCTATTAAAAAATAAGGAAAGAAAAAACCAGCCATCCCATTTGACCCTGTGCTGACAAAACCCCACCCTGGGACCCACTTATATTAGCTGCTTACAACCAGGTTAACACCCTCTGAGCCCCTTAACTTCAGGTCCCTGTACAAAATCTCAGCGTAAATTTAGCAGTTACAAAGAAGAAGAATAAGAAAGAAATGGGCGAGAAATTGAGAAAAAATCCGCTATTCTTGCAGCAGCAAATCTCGGGCCGTTTCGGAATTCGGTGAAGATGTGGGCACCTCTCTTTCTTTCTCCTCTCTCTCTCCTCATCTCTTTGTGTACTGTTAATCTGCTTTGACTATGATCACCTCAAAAACTGACACATTGATTTCAAGCAGGGCAATTTTTTTTTTCGTTGATGGGTCTCTTTCTTCAGACGAAACTTGAGATGGGCTCTTTTTGTTTCACTTTCTAGTGCTCTGAATTCAATAAAGGTATGATCTTGATGGGTATTTGTTTGTGGGTTTTGTTTAACTCTGCTCTAGTTGCTATTGGGTGAAGGAGATTACCTTTCTGTTGTGTTCTTCTACTTGATTGCCTCTTTCCTTCTTGTGGGTTTGAGGCGATTGGTGAATTGTGTTTGAAAGCTGATTAAAATTGTGTTCTTTAATTGGATATGTCTTTGGAATTTTGATTATGTGAATTGTTCTGACGAGGCTTATTGGGTTACTTCAATATAAACCTTTTGTTCCGTGAATTAAATTTGTATTGGATGGTTGGAATGAGGGAATTTCTTTTCTTCTCAGGTGATTTTCACCTTCTTGTTGGATTTTGTGTGGTTGTTTGATTTTGTATGGTTTGTTCAATTTTGATTCTATTTTATTTTCATGAGGGGCATAGGTGGTATCAAGTTTGTCCTTCATTTAACCGCTGGGTTTTTTTATTATGAGTGTGCTTATCTTTTTTTTTTAAGTAGGATTTTGTAAATAAGTAAATAGATAGAAAGATTTGATTCTAAGGCTAGTTTTGTCATCAAAAGACAAGGGAAGATGACTACCCAAATCTACTAAAGTTGCCTCAGTTCATTAATTGTAGATTTTGTTCTTGACTCATTGATGGTCTTGTTTAATTTTTTTTTTCAGTTGGAGGAAAACCTTGTCCTTTGGAAGAAATATATTCAAGGCTCTGGATAGTATTGCTTCAAAATATAGTAGTAATCATGGGTATTTTTCTTTATTTCTCTGTGCTGTCATTTAGAATTGAGGAGTACTACAATTGTTTATCAATCAGTTTTTAATATGTTATCTTGCATATCTGAATATTTTCCATAGTAGCCAATGGCTGATATGCATCAAAAGCTCTTGTATGCTTGAATTCACAAGAATATGGAATATCAAATTAGAGATGAAAAGGAGAACATATGTTATATTTCAATTTGGCTTTCATTATACTTGGCATCTTTAAGTAGATTGCCATTATTTGTTCCTTTTGTGGCATGCTGGGTTTTGAAGAATAGATATTCAATTATATAGTATATCACATTTTTATAAATTTCTCTAATATCTGGATCAACCATTGGTCTTGTTTATGTTTATGACTTTTGACATATAAAAATTAGACAACTTTTTAATTATGGAATAATTAATTTTCAGCAAACAGATTCAGTTTTATTTTGTTGCTGATATTTAATTACAAATAGGGCCTTGCATATGTAGGCCTTGGTGAAAATGAATGCAGAACTTTTTCTTTCTGCAATGGCCACTGACTAATGTGTATATTTTATCAGCAATAATGTGCAGTTTGATAACTGATTGTGTGCTTGATAACAATAGGACAGACAAATTAATGAAAAAGAAAATCATATCAAATTATATCAGAAAAAAGAAATTTTGTTTATAGTTGGCATCCTTTGATTTTTTTTATTTGTTCATTTTGTGGCATGTTCATTTCTGAAGAATGAATATCACTTCTGCTATGTTTTATATCAAATTATTATAGTTAACATCAGGAGAAATATCATACTGATACTTTTTTTAAATGAAAGGAATCAGAATTAATGGACTAAGTTTTTTTTTACTGCGATTAGATTTTCGCATGGGAATATCAAAGAACTGCAAGTGTTCATTTTATAATTTTACAAGTTTAATATACTCGATGTGCATGTGCCAGACACAATATGGGTTCATAATAAAGAATTGTCCTTGTATTACAGTTTATTGTGCATTTTATTTTTTGTTTTTCTTTTCCTTCAGAAAGAGTTAATTGTAGGGTTCCCTTTAGCTTTCCTCCCAAACCCCAAGTCATTCACATGCACGAAAAAAAGGGTGATCTTTTGTTTCGAATGAATAGGTTTCTTCCCTCAGATATCTTATTGCAATTTGTCAGAGTCATACTGTAAAGGTGAACTGCTGGTTCTATCACCGGCATGTTCGTATATAACTTTCACTAAATGAAAAAACTGTACCCATTCTGATGGCTTTTGATTTTTGTCTAACCTCCAAATTCTGTTTTATTTAAATGTCATATGTTACCACAATGGCTATTCTATTCCATTCAGATTCTCACATGATAAGTCCTTCCATTTCTATGTTTGATGACCCTCTCTATTTTGCACTTTTGTGTTGTGTGATGCAGTTTTATAGATTGTGGAGGTCTTTACTGTTTTCCTTTCCCTTTTTTGGCCTATGATTTTTTTTTAAATGCTATGTAGTACTAAGATACTGTGAATTGGATCTCCCTATCTTGTTCTCCATGGTAGATCAAATGAAATTGAAGAAATTTAAACTTCCAAGTTTTTACAATATATGGAATCCTCCTATCTTCTGTTTTCGTAATAATTCCTGCTTGACTTAATCAATATCATTGAATATTCTTATTTTGTTATCAACTGGGAAAAAAATTATTTGGTTGATTGTTTTCATTGTTTTGTAGATATCATCCAATACATAGTTCCGACTTGTTATTAACGAAATTCCTCTAAATAACTAAACGAACCCCATAACTCTGTTAGATACCATATTGTTTTTCTATATCTTATGTTTACCAGGAACCGGTCTCTGTTTTTATTCATTATACCCCTCAAACTGGTTGATGCAGGTTCTGTGATCTGCTAATTTTCATCATTCAGTAGTCATAAGTTGTACTCAATGGGCGAGGAAGAGATGAAGGTCGTCAAGGAAGAGGTAAAGAAGGTTATTCTCTCTGATACAACCAAGAGCGGAGGAGCAGGGAGAAGAAACTCAACAGGAAAAGCAAATAACAAAACTTCACCATCTCTTTTAAGCAGCGATGAGAAGATTCCACCGCATTGTCTCCGAGCTTCTACTAGCTCTTGTCATGATTTCTGCAAGTATGGAAGAAAGCATGTTTTTGAAGCTAAGAAAAGGAATGCAAATTTCCAATTTTCGGACAGTAGCAAGATCCAAGATAAAGAAGAAAAGCCAGAAGTTTTAACTCTTCAAGGGAGGAGGAAGAGACCAGAAACGAAGGTGAAGTCTACTAAGCCTGAAGGGGTCAAGCTTTCAGATACAAATGCAGTTATAGAAATAAAATCATTTGATCAACCGGAAAGCTTGAAGCATGAGAATCCGCTACCCTCGCAAGGACACGTCGAATCTCTGGAGCTATCACTTTCCATTGAAAGTGAGGTATCATCTGAAACTGCGAGGGATGAGAGTTCACCTCCCACTGAGAAAAGGGTCGTCTCTCACGAGCCTACTATACCTTTCTCTTTGTCAGAAAAATCATTAAATGGGTCTAAGAGCATTGAGCTAGACTCATCATCACCCATTAACAGACCTAAGGATCAAGGATCATCCGAGGAGCCAAAGGCTCCATCTCCCACTCAGAAAAGCTTAAAGGCTCAGATCCTACCGTCCACCAGGAAGAGCGCTGCTGCTGCTAAGGTTCAAGCTTCTGAAAAAGATTTAAGCATGAAGCCGAGGACTAAGGGAGGAAATTCGATGAACAATTTGAAGGCTTTTGGCAAAGAGAGAGAGATGAAGACAAGCCCTCCATTGAAAACTGAGATCTCTGTCGAAACTAAGGTAAACAGAGAAAGGAAGACTGATTTAACCGAGCAAAAAGTTGTCGAGCAGAAGAAAGTGATCAAGCCGGTGTCACCCAAAGTTACCAGGCAACAGGTTTCATCAACTACTAAGAGGATTGACACACCAGTGATGAAATCTGCCCCCATACTTATTTCGTCAAAAAGAGTATCTGCTCTAAGAAATATAGGGAACAAGTTAATGAAGAGCATAGACCTTTCAAAGCCAAGAGCAAAGCCAGCAGCAATGCCATCAAGAGCTCCTCTTTCCAAAAAAACCGAAGAGAAAGTGAAAGAGAAGACATTGTACGTTCTCGAACCTACAACATCGAAGACAGGTGCCCCTAAAAAGAAAGAACTGAAGAAAATAAGAGCACAACCTTCGTCAGGTTCTCCCAAATACAAAGAGAAGAGGATAACAAGCAAGACCTCGCCTTCAACTGTCTCCTCTAAAGTCAAATCCCCTTCACCCCATACATTAAAGTTCCAAAGAGGTAAGATAATCAGCCCAATGCCTGAAAATAATTCCCCTTGGAAACTAAAATTTAGACCGGCGAAAGGGATAATTTTGAACAATGAGGCAGCGAGGAGAAGTTTTAGGAGGAGGAGAGGGTCCTTTGGTTCGGCCTCAGAGCTGAGTACTCCGAGGTTGAAAGGTCCTAGTGTTGTTTTGAGACATCAAGATGTGAAGGAGAAGAAAGGAACTCAAGGTTTGTTCAATCATGTTATCGAAGAGACGGCAAATAAGCTTGTGGAGGCTAAGAAGAGCAAGGTGAAGGCTTTGGTTGGTGCCTTTGAGACTGTCATCTCTCTTCAAGAAGGCCGAGTGAAGTAGCATTTATAGTTCTTTTTATATCGGAGAGTATAAACAAAGAGTGCTGAGACTTAAAATTGGAGGTTTGGAACCGCACATATTTGTCATGGTATTCATCTGTTTTCTCTCATTAAGAGTCCGTGTTTAATAGAAAGTTCATACATGTTTGATCCTCGATATTTATAATTCCAGTGCATCGTTTGGCGCACAACCAGTTATCCTTTTTTTTTAAACTGTAAATTGTAAGAAAAATATCAAGCGGCAAGCTTGCTTAAATCGAACTGGTGATGTTCCAGCGATCTACGCACTGTTAGTAATTCTATTTTGTCCTGTAATACCTCTTGATCTATTTTTGGTTAGGTTTGATAGTGACGCAGTGCGGAAGTAGTAGCCTCGGAATCCACCAAGGACAATCTTCGAATCCACGAAGAGCTTCGAATCCACGAAGAGCTTCGAATCCACGAAGTAAATATCAAAGAGAAACAAAAATTTATTAATCAAAAGTTATGCTTCTAGGGTGTACAAAACTCTACTTAAATAGGAAAAGAAACAAGACTTCTTGACCCAAACTTTACCAAAAATACTAAAAGAATTCCTAAAACATTAAAACTCCTAAAAAGACTCCTTATGACTAGGAAAGTCCACCGGTAAAATCTGAGATCAAATCGAATTTGTTTCCTAATCAATACAGACTCCTAAAACATTACTAAAAATAGTAAAAATCGGACAAAAATACAGATATCTGTCAAACCGTAAGGAATTTGGCGAAACGGAAGAAGCAAACCGAACCCCTGGGGTCGGTTTGGTTGGCTTCGTCTCGTCGAGATAGTCGATTTTCATATATAATTCTTCCAATTCTGACGTACGATTTGAAAGTTATAGCCGTTTCTTCGTAGCAAGTTATTTTCCTCGACCGAGCCCGTGTTTGGGCTTGCGACTGTCCCACTTTGATATAAACATATCTGTCTGTGTGTTCTACATCATATAGTGATTAGATTCAATCTCTTCGTGTAGTTGGAAGTTTATATGCGGTTAAATACTCATCTCCTAATATACAGGGTTCTTTGAGAAATTCGTTGGAAAACTTTAAGGAAGCAAAGAGCGGATGAGGACTGCGTTAATCTTTTAATGATTTCAGTAGACCTCTGACGTGTTGTTGATGGTGTCCAGGTGGTTCTCAAACATTACGATAAATACAAGTGTCCAGCATCTTGCACAAGAAAATTAAGTTTGTGATGGACGGTGACAACTTTTTCTTTTTTGGAATATCTTTTACTTTTTTAAATTGAACTGAGACAGCTGTCCTATTTATATTGTCAGGTTTAATTGTAAATAGATTCTGTTAGGGGCTGTTTGGTTGTTGTTGGTAAAGTTGTGTATTTATGACACAACTTGGAAAGTTGTTGTCCACCTCATCAATTTCACTTTTATACTTTTCTTTGTTTGTTTTTTATTCCATTAGAATCATAAAACACTTGTTTGGTTTGCAAAATAAAACTTTAATTGTTTGTTTGGAAAGTGTAAAAAATGGTCCCTAATCAAATGATCATATTGGTTGGAATTATTTTTTATTATTTTTTTCTAACTTCAATGTTAGCTTTCTCCTAAAATCATGTCTTTTTTTCATGAAATCACTTTACAAGCCACATCAGCATATGAAATCACTTTACATTATTTTCACAACTACAAACAAACAATTGAAAGTGATGAAAGCTGACATTGGGACCCACTTTTTTACACTTTATATCCTTTTACATGGTAAAAACATACAACCAAACAGCCCCTTAGTATCGCCTGATTGCTTATAGATTCCTTGCAGTTCTATTTGCGCGGATAGACCTTCTGAGTTGTAAGTTTTTGGCTGTTAAAATAGTGAGTCAAAAAAGTTCCCTAATAAGTCGTATTTGCGTTTTTGCAAAGCTGTATAGGGTCTATCACTACAAGTAGAACTACAGAGTCTATTTGCAATTAACTCTTTTTTTAACTGGAGTGCTTTTCTAGAACACCCCCTTTAATTTGTTGCAATTGCAAGAAACCCACTGCAAACCTTTTTACTTTAGAAATCCTCCATCGGAAAACTATAGATTTAAATCAATTAGCTGAATGCAGATTGATAAGGTGTTTAATTCAAGATGAGACCTGCATATTATAACATAATATGATGGTAGAAGATGTCCAATAAAAAGAAAATTTTCTTTTCCTTTCTTTTTATTTTCCTCGCTCTCCCTCTCACGATATACTTGAGAATTACAATGAAACTTTGGTCGTGTCACGTTGCTGAAAAATGTGAGAGAATAATTAAAAAAATGCTCGTGATTATTGCATGGTGGTATTTCCTACTGTTTTCAAGTTTCATATCTGTACTAATTTATTCTTGTTTGGGCGGCAAAAATATGAAAGATCTCGTAATCTTCGTAAGAGATTTGGATAAGGAAGCAAATCGTCAGTGTATATCTTCAAGTTGCGGCGTCCAATGGAAACAAGAGCAAGTAGATCTCAACAATTAATTTTTTTTAGAGATAAAACAATAATATCAATTTATGCATCAAATGTATTGAAAAAGGGTAAATTTGAAGAAACCAACCTAAACTTTGCGGCTGATTCGTACACAACTCTCCTGTATTAAAAATAAAAAATAAAAAAGAAAGAAAGAAAGAAGAAGAGAGAACCCCTAAGCTTTGGAGAGATTTGCACATGACTCTCTTGAATTTTAAAAATAGGAGGAAAACCCTTAACCTTTGAACGTTTTCATATAACCCCTTTGAACTTTCCGAAATTGGTTTTTCTAATAGGGACCCTCTTGGACACTCATTAAAAATGAATAGCAAATGAATTCTCCTGATTTATACTAATTTTTTCACATTACCTCTCATCTCTAACTCGCTAAATAAGCAAGTTATTCTCGATATGCTGAATAGTCATTTCTACCTTGAGGGTGTTATAGCTCATCAATCTTGTGACATCTTTATTTATTTAATTAATCTTTGTAACGTGTTGCTTAAATATATACTAGGGTGTTACTCGCTCATCAATCTTGAAACATCTTTATTTATTTATTTTTAACCTTGAAGGTCTTATTTCATCAAGTTCTCTATTTATTTTCTATTCAAGGAGTCGTTTAAGTTCTCATTCTAATGGATTCAACCTTTATTTGTAGACTTAGCACCCAAATCAGAATATTTTCTACCACATTATTGACATTGTATTGAATATCCGTCACATTAATACCGTTAAATCTCAAACCAGGAACCGATAAATAACAAACTTACCCCCATCCTTAAAATGCAAAGGTTCATGTCTCTATGCCGTTAAAATCTATCATATTTGCATTATGTACCCTCAAAAATTCCATACAATGGCGTTAAGCGAGACGTCCATAAAAATCCAATGTGAAAGAATATGTCAATGGTAAAGTAATAAATGTGCAGATTTAGGAAGTAAAATCTACAAATAGTATAGATACAAGGGTTATCTATCAATAACAAAAAAAGAGGAATTTTTCCAAAACAGCCCCAAAAAGTTTTTTATTTTTTAAAATCGATCCGTTTTTTTTTTAATTTATCAAAATCGATCCACTTTTTGCCACGTGGGCTTAATGACATTCCTAAACAGTCAGTGTTGCCAACCCTGACTGTTTAGGACATGAAAATTTCGGATTTAAGGGTTCTAATTATGGTTTAACACCCTCCTAAACAGTTGGGGTTGTCAACCCCGACTGTTTAGGAGCTTCATTAAACCCACGTGGCAAAAAGTGGGTCGATTTTGATAAAAAAAAAATCAGGTCGATTTTGCAAAATAAAAATCTCTTTGGGACTGTTTTGAAAATTTGTTAAAAAAATGCTTAACAGGCAGATTTTTTTCCGGTCCTAGTCACCCTTAGTGATGACTCATCACAGATTGTTCCGCCAGCACAACGGAAGCGTATTTTATTGCGTGATCTAATTGTCTTCTGCTGGCGCGTCCTCGTGTCCTCATCCACGGGGGGATCCACGGGGGATTTCTAAAAATTTCTCTCTTGAACGGGAGAAGGGGAGCTCGTCGATTAAGCTCAGGTGAGAATTCACTGGAAAATTTACTCCTTTCACGATCCCTTTCTTTCTTCGAATCGTGAAGTTAAGATTTTTTTTTTAAAGTAATTGCTCGCTAGGGCTCTGATCTGGGTTACGATTGACGCGTTTGTCCGTCGAATTGGGGAAATCTTGGTGTAGGTCTTGAATGCACTGTGGAAATCGTTTGGGGTCGCCAAATGCGTGGCCTTTTCAGGAATTTGGGAAAATTTTGAAGAGTTTTGATTTTACTGTTAGGTTTAACTGATAATTTCCTTTATTATATGGTTCTTATTATTTGGGATCACAGCACGATTTCTGGCACACGAAAAAATTACACTTTTTATTGGATATACACACTTCCACGGAATAGAATTTCACAGTACATATTCTTTAAACTTTGTGACTGTTTTTGTAGAATTTTCATTTTTAAAAGAGGTTCTTGCAATTGGCTGTTCTTCCTTCGATATGAGCACTTAAGTTAAATTCACATCAAACCATCACCTTTCATTGGATTTTTTTTTAATTATTGTTTTAGTGTAACTGGTGCATGCTCCACTAACTCGCTTTAAGGAAAGAAGCGAAAAACATCATTCTTAATTTAACTTGGTTCAAGTGTTGTGATAGTTGTAACCTACCTGAAGTCAGGTTGCGACTTGCTTACCTGAAATAACTCGTGTGACTAGATAGATTTCAAGGGATTCACTTAATTTGGCTTTCAGCTATCTAAGGCACCCTTTTTGGATTCTGTTAATAGCATAAGATTGAGCTAGAGCGTGCTTTACTCCCTTTCTTCCACTTTGAAAGAGGCGGGGTGACAATTTCTACCATATTAATTCACTCTGGTGAGTAACAGTAACTGAAAACCTTGCAATAATCATATTGCAGTTATTCTGTGAAAATCAACTTCAAATCCATTGCTTAATTATCAATTCCTTTATCTTGAATACACATATCTTCAGTCTAACTTTTGATTGAAACATAAGTGATGCAAAAGTTATATGATTTATAATAGCTAGAAATGATATTCTCTAGGTAGAGTTCTAAGACTTAGTTGTAAGACTTTGTTGAAATGACATTTACCTTTTAGTTTATAAATTTCTTCATGGATATCTGTAACTTTTCCTTGCACCAAATTTTCTTCAGTATTTGTTGCATAATTTTTCTACAAAATGTCAATTTATTTTTCTTTACATTCTTGCTGTCCCAAACATGAGAAATATAAATCTGAGTCAAGGTTTAATTGATATTGAGTATGATGCTGGGTTTAGTCACAATGGGCCTTAATAGGGAATATAGATCTTATCGAGTTAGAGACCCAACATTGTGATCACAAACTTCTTGTGTTCTTTACCTAAACATCCTCACTGTATCAGTTTTATAACCCACATGCCAATGGACAAAGCCGTAAATTTCCCTCAAAGTCTTCATCTAAGTGATCCTTCTTTGATGGGGGATTTATTAACTTTGGAGCAAGGTTGCAGGTGATCGATAACGAAGAAGAAGATCAACGGATTTCTTTGAAGGGGCTTCGTTAACAGGTTAGGAGTTTGTTTCTTTCCTTTTTTTTTGTGTTTTCTCAAGGAGAACGCTCCTCCTTTTATAGGGACCAAACCCATCATCTCCATCCCCTCATAACCGCCCCTGAGAGATTTTCTCTCAACAACCCCATTTTCCACGTTTTCGCCATTTTCCACATTTCTTTCAACTGAGAAACATTGATTTGGTCACACAAGACCGAGTCAAGATAACATCTCTCACTTGATCATATTAACCAAGTGACACGCCTCTCACTATCCGTGAGATCAGATATTTCTTCTTACCATTACTCCCACTATTCATAGAGAGTAACTCTTATTTCATTATTCATGAAATTTTTACTTGAACTTATTTATTCCTAAGTCCCATCAAACTTACATGTTTGATAAAAGATTTCCCTGGTATTCTTTTTATCAAAGGATCAGCAATCATGTCTGTAGTAGGGATATAGGTCACTTTGACTTCTTCTTTTTCTACAATATCTCGAATATAATGATACTAGATCTCAATATGTTTTTCTTTAGAGCTATTCACACCGCTATTGATCAAGCTAATCGCTGCTTGATTATCACAATAAATATTAATAGGTCTTTCTAACAAATTGAGATCTAGATCAATCAAAAATCGTCTTACCTAGACAGTATGTGTAGTTGTCATACCGTAAGGTATATATTCAGCTTCTTGCGTATATCTAGCAACACATCATTGTTTCTTGTTACTCCAAGAAACAGTTCCTCCTCCAAAGATGAATAGGTATCCCGAAGTAAACTTTTCATCATCTTTATCACCTCTAAAATCAGCATCAGAGTAACTAAGGAGATCAAGCGAATCGGCTTGATAAACTAATCTATGAGTCAATGTACCTCTGATATACTTCATAATCCTTTTAACAGCTTCCTAATGTGCTGGTCCTGGATTACTTTGATATCAACTGACTATACTTACAACATAAGCTATATGAGGTATGGTGCACAACATTGCATACATCAAGCTTTCAATTGCTTGAGCATAATGAACATCTAATGGATTTTGCCCCTCTTCAGGGCTTTGCTCTTTACATAATCTCTTTTCCATGACTAACAGAGTTGGCTCCGGATTAGAATTCTCCATTCCAAACCTTTTAAGAACCGATCTTAAATATTTTTCTTAGTTTAAACTTAAAATTCTAGACTTTCTATCTCGAATTATTTGAATTTTAAGAATATATGATGCATCTCCCATGTCTTTCATTTCAAACTTTTCGCTGAGATCTGTCTTGATTTTATTCAACATTTTTATGTTATTTTCAGCGAGCAATATATCATCCATATATAAGGATAATATAGTAAATTGTTCTTACTTTTCAAGACATATACACAATTATCTAATTTATTTTGAATAAAATCAAATTTAGTGACTACATCATGAAATTTGAGATACCATTGTTTAGAAAATTGTTTTAAACCGTATAGAGATTTTATTAATTTGTAAACTTTGTGTTTCTGTCCTTTCGTTTGAAAACCTTCAGGTTGTTGCATGTATATCGCTTCCTTCAACTCTCCGTTAAGAAATACAGTTTTAACATTCATTTAGAATAACTCCAAATCAAGATATGCAATAATACCAAAAATAATTCTAATTGATGCAAATTTAGCTACAAGAGAATGTCTTCTGAAAATCTATTCTTGCCTTCTGGTTGTAACCATTGGCAAATAATCGTGCTTTGAATTTATCAATAAATCCATCAATACGATATTTCTTTTTAAGCACTCATTTGCATCCTATGACTTTTTTATTTTTGGGTAGATCACATAACTCTCATACTTTATTCTTTTCTATAGAATCAAGTTCTCTCATGTATTCTAGCCATAAAGCTGATTCATGCGATTTTATCGCATCAGAGAAGATTAAGGGATCTTGTTCCTCTATATTTGTATCTACCAAGAAACAGGATGGCTCACATGAATACAAATAGTAATCATCCATCCATGAAGGTTGTGTTCTTAGCTTTTTATTACCTATAACCGGTTGATGAGGTACATTATTTATCACAGGTATTTTATCATTTTTAAGGTTAGGTTCATTCACAATATCAGGGTCATTAGTAGGAATAATACCGTAATAATCATCATCTATTACAGTTAAAGGTTATGTTTCCTCTCGAACTTGTTCCTCTTCCTCTAGGTTCTTTAGAAATGTAGCATCTCTGTTTTCAATGACCATTTTTTTATTGTAAAACTTATAACCTTTTGACTTTTCTGAATATCCTATGAATCTACACTTTACTGTTTTAAAATGCAACGTATCTCTAAGTTAATATGGAATGAGAACATAGGCTATAGATATCCACTTCCTGAGATGTCTCAGATTAGATTTCCTCTTATTTCATAACTCATAAGATGTAGATACAACTGATTTGGTAGAAATTCTATTTAAAATGTAATTTGCAGTTAACAATGCTTCTCCCCAAAAGTTTTTAGAGAGACTAGAATAAGCTAACATGCATCTAACTACATTCAGTAATGTTCTGTTCTTTCTTTCAGCAACACCATTCTGTTGTGGTGTATACAATATTGTTTTATACCTTTTATTTTCATGCTGAATACAATAACTTTTAAATTCTTTAGAGTTATATTCTCCACCTCTATCAGTTCTCAAAATTTTGATTTTCATTCCAAGTTGGTTTTCAACTTCTGTCTTGTATCTCTTAAAGCAATCAAGAGCTTCTAATTTTTTAGATATAAGATAGACGTGTGCAAACTTGGAATAATCGTCTATAAAAGTAATAAAATATTCTTTATTACTATGAGTTTTGACACTTAGGGGACCACAAATATCCGAGTGTATCAACCCTAAAAGTTTATTGGCTCTTTGTCCGCCTATAAAAGGTTTTCTAATCATTTTACTAGTTAAACAATGTTCACATGGTGACAATTGAATATTAGATAGTGCAGGAAGTAAGTTCATTTTGATAATTTTTTTTTATTTTTAAAATACTAGCATGTCCTAGTCTAGAATATCATAATTCTGACTCAGGAATATAACATGATAAGTAGTTCAAATTTAAAATTTTATTATCAGAATTATTACAAACTACTGGAAGAATGCATAATTCATGATCGGGCACATATTTTCCATAGCATGCACTTTATTATTATTTTCTATAGAAACGCGGTTATTATATAACCTAACTTTCAGTCATTTTTTCATCAAGCAGGGAACAAAGATCAGATTGCACCGAATTCCTGGTGCATAGAATACATCTTTGAGAACAAGAATATTGTCCCCAATATCCAATCTATACGAACCAATATTTTCTACATCGAGATATGTATTATTTCCCATATAGATTCTCTGTTCTCTTTTCTTCAGCTCGATGAATTTTGTGACTATTCTTGTCCTTTGCGATATGTCTGGTCGCACCTGAGTCGATGCACCAACCACTGATATCCGTCATCACAGCATTGTATTCCGTCACACCGACTAATTCTCTTTTGCTAGTACGCCATTGTTCTGGATGCTTATAGGTTCTCTTATTCTCCTATTTTTCACCTTGCGGGCAATTAGGTTTGAAATGCTCAAACTTTTCACAATTGTAGCAGGCTCCGCGAGGTATTTTTTTTCTCTTGAACTGTTGCGATTTCGGTCCTCGCGGTTATGGTTTATTAGGATCATGGTTTTTATAGCTTCCAGCATTATGCCTTTGACGGACATAATTTAACTCTTGCTGCACCATATTCAGTTCTGATTCTTGACTATTAAGTCATGTTCTATCGCTAGGTACATAGGAAGATCAGTGACAGATTTAACGGTAGGGTTCATTTTTAATGTGGTGGCAGCCACAGTTAGGAAAGGAGGGAAGGAGGGAGACTATTCAAAATGGTTACCACTTGCATTCTTTTCAGGATTTCGATCCCAGCAGTGGATAAGTTCTTAGCCATGACAATCATCTTATTTATATGCTCTATGACATTGTCTTCCTCTTGCATACGACAAGAATTATACTTATGTAAGAGGAGTTGAATGTTAACTTTAGAGGCGGTGTCATATTTTTTTTATAGCATTCCACATGTCCATGGAAGTCTTATAAGTTTTAAAATTTTTGATTAAGTTATCTTCCATGAACATGAACATAAGACTTTTTTGCCTTTTTATAAACCCTTTTTTTTTCTTCAGGTGTAGATTTATCAGTAAAGGTTAGAGCAGTGGTTTCGATTACATCATCGATATTCTCATAAATAAGAGCATATCCTATTTTTCTATGCCACATGTCATAATTATTGCCATTAAATTTGTTAATTTTTTCTAGTTCTGATAGAATGAGTTTACTAGCCATTCGGTAGAGAACTAAAATGTTTTGAGTTGAGAAAGGGAACTCCAATTCGAGCGAGATCGTCACCTAGTGGTGCTGAATGGATAAGTACTTGTCGAAGTTTTGGCGTCGTGAGGGTGAGTCACCTTCCCCAGATGCAGCGGTAGTGGGACCCGTCGGCCTTAACCTTGGCCTTGTAGATGTAGGCCAGCGGATCTAGGCTATGAATAGGCTAGAGAGGATTATGAATAGTAGACTGAATGTAGGTCGGCTATGAATAAGCGAGGCCGGCTGTGAACAGTAGGATTATGAATAGTAGGTTGGATGTAGGTCGGCTATGAACAGGCTAGGCCGGCTATGAACAGTAGGGTTATGAATTGGTAGGTGTACTCAGTAGGCTGGATGTAGGTGTAGGCCAATGCAGGCTAGGCCGGCTATGAACAGTAGGGTTATGAATAGGTAGATGTACTCAGTAGGCTAGGCTTGATGAACAATAGATGTCATAAGCTCGTTGGATGTGTTTGACTAGGTAAAAAAATAAACAAGTGGTAAATAAGTGGTTCGCAGATCTCAGCTGAGAGTCACATACTTGCTCAAGTAGTTGAAGAGAGAGAGTGCTTCTTCTTTGTTGGAAAAAATAGCAGCGGGATTTGAAGATATGGAGAACCAATGCTCTGATACCAGTGATCGATAACGGCGAAGAAGAACAACGGATTTTTTTGAGTGGGCTCCGGTAACAAGTTAGGGGTTTGTTTCTTTCTTTTTTGTTGTTGTGTTTTCTCAAGGAGAACGCTCCTCCTTTTATAGGGACCAAACCCATCATCTCCATCCCCTCATAACCGCCCCTAAGAGATTTTCTCTCAACAACCCCATGGTTGCTAGAATGTTTTGTGGCCTTCCATTGTGATTGTACATAGACAAAAAATGTGATTTCTGTCTCACTTAAGAAGATGGTTAACTTTCTATGTGTGAACATGAAGTATGAAATCCAATATAGAATAGATATAGGTTTTGCCATATCTGTATTTGTTTTCTTTTAGCGCATACAGATCAGGATGCAAATGTTGTAACTCAAGAACTAGATATCTATTACCAATGAATTCAGATTTGTATCAGACTGGGTCCATTGGGATTATTAGTTACAACAAAAACAATCTCTTTATCCTAAATTTGCAGTCTGGTGCATGCATCCTATTCTTCCATTCAGTTCTGTTCGTTGGTAACTTTCATAAATTGGATACAATTTAGATATTGATTAGACTAAAAATATGGGAACAAAAATATGAATTATGCGCTTAATTTTAATTTTCTCTTATGTGAAAACAACAAAAAGATAAAATGTCATATGAACTTGACTTTTTGTACTAGGATATTAAATAATTCTGTACTTGAGTTACTTGAAATACATATAGGGATTGGATACATTATCAAATAATTATGTACTTGAGTTACTTGAAATACGTATAGGGATTGGATACATTTTCATACTTGGATACATCGGATAGTTATTCAGTTGCTATATCCAAATCCATTTTTTAAACAGGTAGACATATCATATTGGTATCGGGAAAACGAGTACAAAGCCAGACATGGAGTGGATTTTCCCTGCCATTTGTGCTGATGTTTTTTTCATATACCGTTGTCCCAATATGTAGTCTCCATCTACTCTAGTGAGATGATATTTTGTAAAGAAAGTTATTGCTTTCTGCAGCTATTCTGCAAATTAAGATGCGCACATTTTCACATTGGACCAAGAACATATAGTTTTAGATAAATCATCTTATTTCATGACAAAGATCTTGTAGTTATTTGTGATCTACTTTAGCTGTTTGATGCACTAGGATTTCTTATGTTCTTTATAATTCAAGTTGAAACATGTTTGAGACTCAATGCTATGTCCTTGCTGTTCAGATTTTATTGATAAATTCTTATGTATAAATTCTGAAACAATATAAACGGATTAAGCAAAGGATCCTGCATGGTCTGCAGCTACCACTATAAAAGTGGCAACTATGCTGGTGGCCAAGCAGTACCGCTGTACACACTCAGCAGCCTGTGTATGCACAAAGGGTCATTTGAGTGAGGATGCAATTTTCTTGGTATTTCAGCACCTCAACTGGAACCCTAGGTTAATTGCAACATTATCTTGTGCCTGCAAATGGTTTGACGAAATTGCCAAGCATGTGTTGTGGAAAGAATTCTGCCGTACCAGGGCCCCTAAAATGATGCTAGATCTGCAGTCCAGTGGAAGTCATAGTATTGATGGGAATTGGGAAGCACTTGCGAAACTTCTCATTTACTGCTCAGGATGTACTAAGGGGGGTCTAGGACTTCTATTTAACAGGATTCATATCCCAGGTCACTTTGTCTATAGGACACGGTTCTCTAGGACTTCTGGCAATAGTTTTCTTATTCCACAGTGCAGAACCGATGTCTTGTACGTATCAGATCCCTGTGAGCATCTTGATCAAGGAGAAGAGGGCGATGTTGGGTTTTTTCGTGGTATCTTCAAGTCCTTCTCCACTTCAAAAGTTAGGAAAATGCTGATAGATAGGCGAGCCAAGCTCCATCCAACAGAGGTTTGTCCGTATTGCAAGGCAAAGCTGTGGAGCATGCTTCAGGCGAAGATGATACCCATGAGTGCGTGCACCAGGTTGGGTTCCTTTGATGATTGCATAGAATACTATGTATGCCTTAATGGGCATATGTTTGGGATCTGCACTCTCTTACCACTCTCTGATTCCGAAGGTGCATCAGAATTGGAGTGATGTTGGAAACATGAGGAAGGTAATATCCCTTACTATTCTCTTGCTTTCCTATTAAGTTTTTTCTCTGCTTAAAGATGCTGTCCTGAAGGAATAAGATTGGTTATATAGAATTAATTTCCTACTGAACTTCAATTTAACTGTACCTAAAACATAAATGCCACGAGATTTGCAGATAAGTTGGTTGGTTAGAAAATCAAATTGTCTTTAAGTATATTTCAACTTGAATATGCTGAGGAGTTCTTTAAGAAATTGGAGAGGCAAAACTTGACTTTGTCAGATATATTCAGCATCTCCTGAGCTAATGTTGTGTGTAGACGCATATCAACTAAGCCATTGCTCACCTCTTTTTTGTTTTGGTTTGGAAAAAAAGGTCCAGGAGGCATTGTTATGAAAATTATAATTGGTCAATACATTAAAGCATATCTATATTCTATATCTGTAGTAACATTCTAATTTTGACTGGTTTTCATGTCATTACCTGAAGAGCTAGAGTGCATTAAACCCTGCAGATAGAATTAATTTCCTATTCAGCTTCAATTTAACTGTACCTACAACATAGATGCTATAAAATGCACATATAAGTTGGTTACTAACAATCTAACATCAAGTTGTCAGAGTATATTTCAAGTTGAATATGCTGAGCAGTTCTTAAGAAATTGGAGAGGTAATACTTGATTTTGTCCTGTAGTATTCAGCATCTTTTGAACTAACGTTGTGTGAATACACATGTCACAAGCAAGAAATTGCTCAACTCTTATTTATTTTGGTTTAGAAATGGGGCAGGGAATCATTGTTATCAAAATTATAATTGATTGATACATTAGAGAATATGTATATTGTATGTCCGTGTAACATTATGATTTTTAACTGATTTACATCTCATGACCAGAAGATCTAGAGCATAAAACTCCGCAGCATTAATATTTGTAGCTAAGAAGCAATAAAGCTGTGAATAAAATCCTGTTTGTTCGGGGATAAATCACATAAATATCGCATAATATCCATATCCAATATATACCTCATGCAGTTCACAAGGTTTAAGTTCAATTCTATGTATATTTTACGACAATCATATTACCAAGAGTCCATATTCATGGGTTCAACTTGTACATTAGGATTTCTATTCATATATTAATTTGCATCATCAGTCTGAATATATTTGATTGGTCAAAACACCCATGAGTCTAAAATCTGTCAGGACATCTGCACTGGAGCAACTAAATACCCATCAAGCGTTTTTCATTAGCACCGATATGCTCATGATCCACTTACCCACCTGATCATGGATTCATATAAGCACAATGTACCCACCTGATCAGGGATTCATATAAGCACAATCCACTTATCCACTTACTATTTGGGTAGAACCGTAGAGGTTCTCAATGTAATCACTTGCCAAAATAATTTTATAATAGAACACACTCAATCACTTGTCAGTATGTCCCAGTTAAATAATTAATACACGTATCTAAGGAGTTCAATAAAAATAAAACCTTTATATAGAAGGCAACAGTGTTTCTCAAACAAGAATTTAGATCTTTGATTAACTATCGAGTCCAAAGACGAACTTTTTGAGGACTTAAAAGATGCATCTCTAGTCCACTTTTGCAGATTCAAGAAAAACTGCGATGCGTGTAAAGGCATTACTCAATGAGACATTATAAATAACCTCTGCGCATATAACCACTTACTATAACTTGTACAAAATTTCAATATATTTGTCTTGCAAGCTAACTTGCAAAAGAAAAAGAACTTCACACTTGATTAGCCCAAAAAGAACTTCACACTTGATTAGCCCATCTATTGAAGTTTCTTGTCCTAACGGAACTATTCATGCTTTGAAAGAGTAATGCTTGCATATTGACTTTGATGAAATATGCTAATGTCAGCCTACTTCGGCCATTCATAAGTCAGAAACTGACACGAGATAAAGCTCGGGTGTTTATTTTTAGACTAATAGAAAGGTTTATAGCTTAGTCTAAAGGAACATGTTACCCTCGTTGAACCTGCAAAAGCTCTCTATTACCTTCTTTGCATGTTCATGTTAAAAGATTATAGCATTTTAGATAAGTACTTGCACATGGTTTTGATTGAGAAATCTTCTTTATAATTTCAAAAAATTAAATATCTTTTTGCAGACATAATCCCTACTTCCTTGCAATGCAAATCAGTTTGCGGTTCAATTGAGCTAATCCGATTCTTAATTTAGTATGATGGAACAAACTCAAAAAATCAATATGTTGTTAAAGCAAATAGATTCCAACTAAAGTTTCTGCTCAAGTTCAATGCCACATGAAGATAATCAAAGCTCCGATACTTGTTCCCAACAAGTCAAGTAGAAACCATTCAAAAAATTATCTCATAAATAAGCAATTGAATCGTAAATGCCATTAGGAATAAGCCCTTACCTATTAGACAATTGTTTGCCTGACTCCTTTTAATTCCTTACTTGTGACACAAGGTGCGATGACATCATTGGGCCTTATCTTTGTGTTTCTTCTTTTTAATTAATTGATTAGTTGTTTTAGAAATTGAATGTGGCTGATGCATATGCATGTGAATTGCATACTCTGATGGTATGAAACTGAATTCGTGAATTTAGTCCTCTCCATTACCAGCCAGTCCTTAACCCTACAGCCAGCCGCAAACATCAACATTCAGGCAACCATTGCAGCCTCCCTCTTGTTTCCTTCTAGCTGTCATCTCCCCATCAACAAATTCTCTCTCTAATTATCTGTAATCTGCAAAACCTGAGAGTAAAAACCTATCCTCCGCTGTCTTTTTTTTCCTGGTTAACCCTTTCCCACGCAAAACTGAACATGATGTACCTTGTTAACCTCTCTTATGTTTTCCAGCAACTTCCAAATTATCAGCCTTTTTTCTAATCTCTAGCAAGCTACCCCTATAGAAAAAACCTCTAACTGTCCCTGCATCGTAAACCTAAAGTCTCAATCTTTACCTTCTTTGCCTTTTCAGTTCTTCAATCCAGCTCTTGTTTGTGAATTGTTTTCATATCCAGTCACTTAGATCATCCCCAGTAATCCCAATCCTAATTGCAGCTATTTCTTGATAAATACTAAGAATCCATCTTTCTCACACCCCTTTGAATTTTGGACTGAAATGGATTGCAGATATGATGTTTCTTATACTCATGCAAAGCAACTCCTCCTTGGCTTGGGTGTAATAAGCATGGGGGCAAAATGATCGAAACTTTGATTTAGTGGAAAACTATTGTTGTGTAGGTATAAAATCAAGCCTCGTCTTTGATTCGAATTTTATTCCATCGCTAACTATGAAGATGTGAGGAGTTGATGTTTTTCTAGTTCTGTATCTCTCTGTCTAAAAATATCGTTGGGTCTGTTTGGATTGCATCGTAGGTCTGATTTTTCATTGATATTAGTTATTTATCTTGGATTCTTTGACGCATGCATGTAGTTTTTTTATTTATCTAGATCTATATGAACCATAAGATTGGATGTCCTTGCTTAGGCTTCTTAGAATCATTCTGATGAGCTGCTAATGTTTCCTGAAGGTTGTGAACTTTTGAAGCTACTGCAGAGAAACTGGTGGTGTACCTTTACTTTCTCATGTAATGGGTACATAAGACTATATGTCCAGAAGTTCTATATTTGGTGTAGGAGCACATGGGAACTTGTCTGTGGGTATATCCCTCAACCTCAGGTGTTTTAGGTGCCGTCTCAGTCCTTGGGATCTGGCCATGTTAATACTTGTACTGCTTTCCTTGTATGAATATGTGAACTATCACTTGTAGTTTAATATCTCGAGTCCGAGGCGTATCACTTGGTATATATGGTTCGTTTTTCGTTCTAACGCTCTCCCTATGTTGAGTTAAATGCATGCGCACATTCTTCTTCTTGTTGATTGTAAGTGTTTTCCTCCTTTTGGTTGCAAACGGTTGTATAACAATTTATAGAAACTTTAATACATGGCTCATTGGCTTGTCAAGTACAAGGCTCAAATCTTATATTGAGGATGACTTACTATGGGCAATAAACTTGCACTTAAATACAGTTTCAAGTATTACTCTTGGGAAAAGAACGGTTGTATCTTCTGTATAATTGGTGGTTCAACAACAAGTACGTGGAGTCTTTCCTGTTGACCTTATCTTTTCTGCCTTCGCCCTTGCTTTTGCTTCGTCACTTCTTTTTCTCTCTTCTGCTAGTTCTCTTGCTTTGCCTGCAACCTTCTCAATTCTTGATATCTCATCTTGATATTTCTGCAAGGCTCTCACCCGTTTCTCTTCTGATTTGATCTGCAATACCGACATAAAATTTTGAATTAAAATTCTGACGTGAGACATTCCATCTTCTTTATGTTTGAATTTGACGGCATGGGTTTAACTCACATGTTTCTTGTGCCTTTGGAGTCTTAAATTTTTTTGACATTACCTATCCTCATCCTTTATATGCTAAAAGGGGGAAAGAAAGTCGAATTGGCATTATCTAAGAATGTAACACCAAACCTGTTTCTTCTCCAAGCGGTTTTTGGCTTTTTCCTTCTTCTCATTCTCCCACTCCTTAATCACGGACATCATCTTATCATACCTGAAAATGTGCGTCAGTACATTCCAAACGATAGAACAAAATACCGACAGCAAACTAGTAGACATGCGCACTGTATTTATTATAATTACCGATCTTTTATCTTAATCATCCTTTTACTCTCCCAAGCATCGGCCTTTTCTTCCGCTTTACTTTTCATCACCGGGTACCCATCCTGAGTTCTATTGCCAAATGATGAAGTCGGAAATCTCTCTACAGACGAAGCTTTTGGGGAGCCTGGCGTCATTTCTTTTCTACTGCCAGCTCTCTTACTGCCTGTGTCGTTTAGATACTTATCAGTGGAGTATCCATTAGCACATTGCTTATTTCCATATGAAACTGTCACCCGAGAGTGCTTATACGCATGGTCTTCAATTCTTAGGAAAACGTTTTGTTTGCACGCATGCACGTCCATGCTGGCCTATTGTTATAGATTTTAATTTATATGCTACTTTTGTTGTATTCTTAATTTGCTTGAAGCATTTGAAGTTGAGATAGATGTCGATACCTCCTGGTTTTCCATCTTCTCGTGCTGCTTGATCGGTAAACCATCGTTTGAAAGATCCGCTGAAACTGCTCAGCTTTTTCCTGTCATCTTCATTTCCGAAGTGGTCTCCAGAAAATTTTACAGACCCTCTCTGTTTCGTTGAGCCTTCTCTTTCGTCTAGAGAGGTGATGGCGTAAGCTGCTGCTGCGATCGCTGCTTCAAACTCTCCGTCGCTGCGACTATCTGTCCGCCTCATTTGCCCCGTGACCGGATTTCCGAAACCAATTCTATGTTTTCTTTTTCCCTGCGGAGTACAGAACATCTTTTATGTATGTATGTATACCCTAGTGCAATTATCCAAATTTTTTGCGTTTTGTTTTTCCAAGCTCACGAAAGTGATAACTATTTCTTTGTAAGATAGAAAATGATGTGTTCTTCTAATCTATTAAAAAGTTCCTTGAAGACTTGGATACCGCCTCCTCTATCTAAAAGCCTGGGAATTTAAGAAGTTCTATCTACTGTATGAAAATTTGGATATTAATGGTTGTGTGATACGAATTTCTATCATCTTAGAGATATTTATAAAGCTATTTCTTTTAATAATTGCAACACGATCTTTTTGCCCCCGCTTTGTTAATTTCCACTGAACCTTTTCCTGATTATGATGAAGTTTGTTTCGGCGATCAGAATGGCATCGTTACGCATGTGATCTCCTAGCATCCAGTTCTTACCGATAAGTGTAACTACATAATATTTTAGGTTATATATGTGGAAAGGAGTAAGACAAATGTTCAAGGAACAAAGCAATAAATGAAGATTACAAAACAATTAAGTCGGAATACCTCAGCAAGGGATCAATTGTTGATGATGAGCCAGTTATCAGAAATCCTTGAGATTTATCGATAAGATGGCTGAAGCCTCTAAGATCAGAGATGAAGCCGAGGTTCTGTTATTTATTTATGGGAGTTAAAACTTGAAGAACAGGGAGAAGGGAGTTAAACTTGGCGAGCAAACTTGGGATGTTATTTTACATGGAAATTCTCATTTTTATATTATGTGAGAAGCTGGTGGGTGAAGAAAGGAATCCTGTATCTTTTCCTTGTTCTTCCCTGTGGGGGCCACACCCCATGTGAGGTGGGAAAAAAATAAATGCATATCATGCTATTGCCCAGTGAGCAGCAAAGGACCGCGTGGCAGGCTCGTGAAGTGAAGCAAACCGCGTATCGTGCTATTGCCCAACAGATGTTTCTCGCACTGGTTTTGCAGAGGCCCACCCGAACCGCAACAGCAACCTATAAATAGAAAACATAGGGTTTCGTGAACAGTGGGCTTGGTGCAAATTTGAGGGGGGTAAGGCTGCGGCAGAAAAGCAAATGCAAAGGACGGCCAGCAAAGTGCAAGTACGAAAAGCAGAGAGCAGTTGCAAAGAGGTAGAAAAGTCAGCGGCTTTCTTTGGCTTCGTGCAAACAGGCTTTTGTGCTTTTGAGAGAGATAATTGTATGAGGGTTTAGATTGAGTGATTGTACACCCTAGTTGTATTATCTCCTCTCTAATAGTAGATCTCCCCCTCCTTGCCCCGTGGACGTAGGTAGTTTGCCGAACCACGTAAAATTGGTTTGTTTGTGTTTGTGGCCATTGTAATAGTTTTTAGGATCCCTCGACAAGTCAGTCCTAGAACTGATGAGAGGAAGAGTCGATATCTCACTTTGTTGAGATATTCGCTTCAGATTCTTGTTTCATTGGTGAGACAGGAATTCTTATTGATCTTTCTCTCTTATTGTGCACCAGAAACTCTGCCGAAATTTCTGCTGCGCACAACAAGTGGTATCAGAGCCCGGGCTACGCTTGTGCTATTTGGAGGAGTAGATCGATTTGAAAGCTCGTCTAGGGCTTTGTTTGGTGATAAAGGTGGGATCTTTTGTTAAAAGACTCTATCTTTTTAGTTTTGGATCTATTCTTCGTTCGTTGGTGCGTTGAGAAAGATGTCGGGGAAAGAAGGTGCTTCGGGTGTCGAGGGTGGTGCTTCTGGCACGAAGACCATTCAGAGTTTGAATATCCACTCTATGAAGATAGATGTGGATAAATTTAATGGCACAAATAATTTTGGATTATGGAGATGCGAGGTTTTGGATGTGCTGAACGCGCAGAATTTGGAGGATACCTTGGAGTTAGATGGCAAGTCAGATGACATTGAAGAGAAAGTTTGGAAGAAAATAAATAGAACGGCGTGTGGTGTGATTAGGTCTTGTTTGACTCAAGATCTAAAATATGATGTGATGAATGAGACTTCTGCAAAGAAGATTTGAGAGATTCTCAAAAGCAAGTATCTGACAAAGAGTGTTGAGAACCGCTTGCATTTGAAGAGGAGACTTTATCGTTTCCAGTTGAAGAATGGAACCTTAATTAGAGATCACATGAACACCTACACAAAGCTTCTTGCGGATTTGGCGAATGTGGATGTCATGATTAAAGATGAGGACAAGACGTTGCTGTTGTTGAGTTCCTTGCCCGACGAGGAATATGAGACCTTCGTCCTTACTCTGATTAATAGGAAGGCATCTCTTTCGTATAGTGAGGTCACTGCTGCACTGGTGAATTATCAGCTTCGGAAGAAGAATAAGAAGACTTCAACTGAGTCGATAGCAGAGGCGTTGGCCGCAAGAGGGAATGGTCCAAACCGAAAAAATTAGAAGTCGCAGTCTAGAGTAGGACATCCTACAATTGGAAAAGATCAGTATGCTTGGTGCAAGGAGATTGGTCATTGGAAGAAAGATTGCCCAAAGCTCGACGAATAGATGAAGAATAAGCAGAAGGTAAAATGGAAGCAATTATCATCAGAAGCAAACATCGTATCGGATGGTAATATTTCTGACTCTTCTATTTATTCGCTTTCTATCAGTCCTACATGTAGCTATTCGGAGGAATCTGAGTGGATGTTGGATAGTGGTGTGACCTATCATGTGTGCCCTAGAAAGGAATGGTTCTCCAGTTTTGAGAAACTGGATAGTGGTGTGGTGTACATGGCTGATAACCGTGCATGCCAGATCTTTGGGATAGAAAGAATTCGCATTAAGATGTTTGACGGGACTGTTAGAGAGTTAAATGATGTGAGATATGTTCCTTCTTTGATTCTGTGAGAAAGAACTTGATCTCGATTGGAGCTTTGGTTAGAGAGGGTCTGAATATTCGAATTGAGGGCATGGTTCTCAATATTGTGAAAGACTCTCGGATTGTGATGAAGGACGTCAGGAGAAATAACCTGTATTACTTGATTGGAGGTATAGTGGCAGGTGGAGAACTGACGACTTCTATTGATTCGACTAGACTACGGCATTTAGGGCTTGGCCATTCCAGTATTGATTCCTCGCATAGATTGAAGGAGGGTGCGAAGACCTGCAGTTTGAAGTCCAGTGAACATGTTGATGTGAGCAAGAAGACCGAGGTGAAGTTTGGCACCTCTATTCACCGTGCTAAGGGTCGTTCTGGAGGAGTTCACGTGGATGTTTGGCGGCCTTCCAATGGGGCATCATTGGGAGGTAATAGGCGTTGGGTTTCCTTTGTTGGTGGCTGTTCTAGGTGTGTTTGGGTTGCAACCAAATCCCCATTGGAGAAAGTCCTAGTAGTCTCCAACAGATTGAAGAAGTGTGTAATAGACAGAAAGGTGAAAGTACTTCATTCTGAATTTGGTGGGAGGTACAAGATGGACCTATTTCTGTATTAGAGCCGAGCTCACGACATTTCGAGATACTTCGTTGGAAAGGAAATCTTGGGGAAACTAGATAAGGTGACAAATTTGGAGAACCGTGCCTTGCTGGAGGAGGATCGATGTTTGTTGTCAAGTAATGGTCTACAGAAGAGTTTCTGGACTGATTCTTTGACATATTTGGGTCATCCTATTAAAGAGTTGTCAACTGCTGTGATTGGAGGTAAAACTCCATTGGAAGATAGGTCTAATTATGTCACTTTGGAAGAGGCTTCGATGAGGAAGCCAATTGACTGTTTGTGAAAAAATTCGTAGTAAAAGAAATGAAAGAAAATTTTGATTTAAATTCTCTCAAGATCAATTACAATTGGATTCCAATTACAAAAGAGAGGAGAATGAATTTGATTCTCCCCTTTGTTTAAAACTGGGTTCTTCAAGGTAGCGATGGAATGTCTCCTTCGAATGCCTAAGTCGAATTTGCTCTCCGTTGACGATCCAACCGCTTTTATCTCGTGGGAACGATGAACTTTCGTGGTAAGTTTGTTAAATAACTCTTAACGAGTTTTAAGAACTCAGAACGAGTTAGAACTCTGTCAAAAGAGTTGTTAAAACCGAATAATCGGTTAATAAGCCAAAATAGATCTGTTTGTTACTGAAGAATCTGATCTCCTAACTGCCAAGAACTCTACCGATTTCGTAGATGATTTGATCTTTAAAATCTAGCCGAAATCTCCCAAAAATCTTCAACCTATCAACCAACCTCCTTACTTGGTTGAGTTTGTTAAAGTTTTATAGAGGAATAAGGGGCTGTAACTGCCCCCTTAATCCGTTCCTAAGTGGGCGAAAATCCCTCAGATCGTGGGGGAAACGGTTCTGAAACCGTTCGACTCATGTTTGAATGAGTCAAACGCTTGATTTGGCGTTCAGAACCCTAACCTCGCGTCTTGAAATTAAGACGCGAGGTTGGGCGTTGAGTGAATGTCAAAAACACGAGGGCCGCTCGCGTTTCTCCTGTTGCAGTTTGGAAACGCGAGGGTAGCCTGCATTTCAAGAATTGTAACGCGAAGATGAGTTTCGCGTTTCAGAAAGGGGTTAGTTGACGTGTAACCTCTTCTGTAGAGTGTTGCAATGATCATTGCTCGACAACATTTGCTTTAGCCATTGTGGGGTGTGAGAGTTGTCAGATTGTAACTCTCATTGTTGATTGTGAAGACCACTGAATAGAGCTTTCATCAGTCGTTGGAAGTGTCGTTGAATCGTAACTCTTCTTGATCTATGTAAAAAATCCTCCATTTGCAGCTTTCATTTGTTGGCATAAAAGTCATTTGATTGTAACTTTCATCATTGAAGCTTGGTGGGGATCAGCTATCTATTATGATTTTTAGACAGCCTACAGAACCCCCTCCAAAGTTTTCGAAAGTTTGCGGTTAACTGAGATGAATTTTCGAAACACTTTGGATCCCAAAATTTAGTTGATTGATTGTTCACTTCGTCTGATATGAAGACATCGCGAACCTGGTTGTTGGAATGTTGAAATTCTATTTCCTCGAATCAAATGAGATAACTTTTGAGTTTTGATGACAATGAACTTAGTCAAACAAGCTAAAATCCAAGTCATTGCTGATGATTTTACCTAGGTGTTTGAAATACTTTACTCAATCTACGATGAAGTGTATTCATCGGATCTCGTCTGGATCCTTAAGATATCCACTTGATCTGCGATGAGTTGTATTCATCAGATTTTGTCTGGATCCTTAAGATACTCCACTTGATCTGCGGTGAGGTGTGTTAATCGGATTTCGTCTGGATCCTTCAGATACTCCACTTGATCTGCGATGTATTCTTCCATCTAGAGAATTCTTGTAGGCATTGATGAACACTCGACATGCAACCTTCAGCTTCATTGGTCTTGGTGGGAATGTTAAGCTATTTAGAAGAATGAGGTGCGCGTCGAATCGTGTCTTTATCAATCTTGGTTGGGATGTTAAGCCACTTAGAAGAGTGAGTTGAGCATCGCTTCGGTCTTCATTAATCTTTGTTGGGATGTTAAGCCACTTAGAAGAGTGAGTTGCGCATCGCTTCGGTCTTCATTCATCTTAGTGGGAATGTTTAGCCACTTAGAAGAATGAGGTGCGCGTCGGATCGGGGTTTCATTAATCTTAGTGGGAATGTTTAGCCACTTAGAAGAATGAGTTGCGCGCGGGATTGAGCTTGGCAATTTTAGCATTGTAACCTATCTGTACTTGTCCAACAGGCTATATAACTGCTTGTCGTACGCAGGTTTCTTCTCGGCTTTGGTCACCT